AATTAGGTAGACAGCAATTCCATTAAAAAGGATAGAATGGGAGGCCGAGGCGGGCGGATCACAAGGTCAGGAGATCGAGACCACAGTGAAACCCCGTCTCTACTAAAAATACAAAAAATTAGCCGGGCGCGGTGGCGGGCGCCTGTAGTCCTAGCTACTCAGGAGGCTGAGGCAGGAGAATGGCGTGAACCCAGGAGGCGGAGCTTGCAGTGAGCCGAGATCGCGCCACTGCACTCCAGCCTGGGCAACAGCGTGAGACTCCGTCTCAAAAAAAAAAAAAAAAAAAAAAAAAAGGATAGAAAATATGGGAAGAAATACAAGCTTCTGGGATGAGAGTGAACTATTTCAGTTTTGGAGATGTGAGGTTTGAGCTGTAGACAGAACATCCATGAAGAGATATAGGTCAACAGACAGCAGAATTATGAGTCTGAAGCTTTGGGAAATGGTCAGAGTTTCATCTCAGTTCCAGTGGAAGGAGATGTTACATGACGATCGTAATGGTTAGCACTTATTGAGCACTAACTAAATGTCTAGGGTTTTACATAGATTATGTCTTTTAATTTTCACAACCATCTTGTGAGATAGTACTGTTATATTAACAGTTTACAGATGAAGACACAGAAGTCAAACAACTTACCTAAGACCCTACAGCCTCAAAGTTGTGATTCAAGCCTGATTCCAAAGCTTTTCCTCTTTCCTACTGTGCTGTGAAAGTCTGCCTTTTGGAATCAAATCTGATTTAGAATCTTTCCTCCCCAAAGAGCCTTAAAGTCTGGACAACTTGCTACACTTCTCTAAGCCTGAGATTTCTTCTCATGAAAAAGAAGAAAATAATACCAAAAGCATGGGGTTGTTGTGTATATTTTACCAGATGATATATGTAAAGTGTCTGGTATTAAAAAAAAAAAAAAAAAGGTATGCCATAAATAGTAGTTCCCTTTACCCTTTCTGCCCAAGGCAAACCTCCCAGAAGAAAACTAGAGAACAAGGACAGAGGGAGATGGCAGGTATGTAACAACCTAGAGCCATTTTCTTATGTTGCAAGTTATCCATATCCTCACTATCCCCCCACCTTTTCCGCAGACAGCCCAGGGGCAAGCAAAAGGGCAAAAGGCAGACATCAAAGCTCAAAAGGGAAATAGATGTTGAACTGAACAGATGACTTAAACCCTTCCTCCTATTCTAAAACACTATCTATGTTCCCTGATCTAATCTTGGAGCAGGGAAGAAGGGGGCGGAGGTTGTGGGTGTTGTGAAGGGAAAACTCAAACTAAACAACAGGAAGCTTATCGGCTTATTTGAGTACCCGTAGAGTTGAGCTAAAAGATCACAGACTTTGAGTCAGATCAATCCAGCTTATGCGGCTGATTGCTGCACAAATGGCTACAGGGAACATTTCCTGACCTCTCTAAGCCTCACGGGGCCTGATAACATGTAACGTACAAATTTGCTATTAAAATTAGGTAACACTTGTTGTGGTTAGAATGCATTCCCTCCAAAATTCATGTTGAAATTTAATCCTCTTTATGGTAGTATTAAGAAGTGGAACCTTTTAGGAAGTGATTAGGTCATGAGGGTTCTGCCCTCTTGAATGGATTAGTGCCTTACCAAAGGGCAGGAGGGAACTAGCTTAGGCCCCTTTTCTCCATTTGCCTTCTGCCATGTGAGGACACAGAATTCATCCCCTCTGGAGGACAAAGCAAGGTGCTCTCTTGGCAGCAGGGAATGAGGTACTCCCCAGACACCAAACCTACTGCTGGCTCAGTCTTGGACTTCCCAGCCTCCAGAACCATAAGAAATAATTTTTTTTTTTTTCTGTATAAATTACCCAGGCTCTGGTATTCTGTTATAGCAGTACAAATAGACTAAAACAATATAAATTATCAAATTAAAGGATATGTAGCACACATTCTGAAATGTGTTAAAAGGCAACTCTTCCTGGGTACTGATATGAATCTCAAAACAATCACCAGAAAATATTTTAGGGCATATTGACCTGCACTTGGAGAAGAATCCAGAACAAAATCTTTTTGGCTTGTGCCAAAACCAAAAAACAAAACAAAACAAAACCCTACTTTTTGGTGTTGTCTGTGGTAGAACATTGAAACCCAGGTATTCACTGGCAGAAAACAAAACCAGAGTTTTAACAAGCCTGGGGCAAGTAGCCGGAAAAAATCTCAAATCACTCCGTGATTCATGTTGTTGTTTAGATGGTGATATGGTTAATTGAATCTAGGTATGAAACTTAAGTTTCCTCCAGGTTGAAAGTGGACTTGAAGTATTTCAATGTAAATAACACCATTAAATATTGCATAATTTAAAAAATCACTAAAAAAATCTTTCTACACTCTAAATTGTGTTGCCCTAAGGCAAAGTATACTCCACATTTCAAGGCCTCACAGCTCCCTCGGATCAAAGCTCTGGGTTAGCTAAATGGGAAATCCTGGCTGTGATTTACAGATGAACACTCTTATTATCCATTGTCCTGGGCCGCCTCACTTCCCTCCATGCAAGACTGTTTACTGTGTAAACAGTAGCTGTGCAGGCCGTCAGGTGTTTTGCACCAGAGAATTCAACATATTTCTGCACGAAAAAATACAAGTGTTTTACTTTCTGTCAGGGTCTAAACTCTTCACTCCTTTTTCTTTTCTCTTCAACAGATAATGCATATTTAAGTATATGACCTCATTGGACAAGTCATGCAGGATTTTTGACTTAAGCAGGCTCTGAGGACCCTAGAACATAATAAAATATTTGTAGTCTAACATGCTATCAATTGTAACAGGAGCAGAACCCAAAAAACAAACTTTACCTTTAGAGTAGTGTACCTTGTTTGTCAATATAAAAAAGCAAACACTCATTTGCGTTTCTGTTTTAAATCCTTAGGTCATATTCACATATGTTTTAAATGGAATCTTCTGCTTTAAGAAAGTCCGCCCGCATCATACGCATAATATTCTAATTACTTCCAAGAAATGCTTCCTTCCAAGTTTGCAGTCATTTACAAACATCAAGACATACTTCAGTGAATCATACTGAAAATTCATGGAATTGTAGATTTATAAGTGAATTACACTTGGAATGAATTTTCTTTCAGAACTTAGAAATATGTGACAGGCCGGGCGCAGTGGCTCACGCCTGTAATCCCAGCACTTTGGGAGGCCGAGGCGGGCGGATCACAAGGTCAGGAGATCAAGACCATCCTGGCTGACACGGTGAAACCCCATCTCTACTAAAAATACAAAATAATTAGCCGGGCGTGGTGGCGGGTGCCTGTAGTCCCAGCTACTCAGGAGGCTGAGGCAGGAGAACGGCGTGAACCTGGGAGGCAGAGCTTGCAGTGAGCCGAGATTGCGTCACTGCACTCCAGCCTGGGCGACAGTGCAAGACTGGGTCTCGAAAATATATATATATATACACATATATATATACATATATATATACACATATATATATACACACATATATATATATAGACATTATTCATATAGTGAATGAGGTACACACCATCCTGAATTTTTCAACAATTCCTGTTGCCAAACAAGGAGGTCAAGGATAGAAGCACTATTAAGTCTAATTTTATATGCATTTTTTATGTGATGATAAATTAATTATGTAACAACTTAGAAAAGTTCAGTGGAGACAAAAATGTCACATTGTAAGCCACTGTAATAACATGGTAAACTTATTAGTACCACAGGGGCTTTTATTCATCCTTTATCCAAAACTGTGAAGAAGAATCATAGCCATCATTCAGTGATAGTTCATAGGCAACTATGAACAGTCCATGAATGATCAGATTTATGTCTCACTACAGTTTATTTTCCATATGAAGAAGCTGAATCTCAGGCAGGTAGACTCACCCAACTTCTTATGCTGCATAATAAGTGGCAGAGTGGGAATTTGAACTCAGGCTTTATGATCCAGCACTAGCATTAACCATTACACATGCTGCACACCGTCTTCTCCTGGTTACTATTGCCAGTACCCTGTCATGTGGTTTCAGAAACCCATCTCTATTCCCAGGAAGAAAAGCACCTAAAATGCATTGACTCCATAGTGGAGTAATATAAATATCGTCATTCCTGGAAATTGTTTTAGGTGGAAAAACCTGAACTAAAGAGTTAGGATCATCTGGGCTGAGGTGCAGTTCTCTCTTTCAGCTGCATGAGAATGGACAACTTATTTCATCTTTCTAAAGTTCAGCCTCCTCATCTATAGATACACCTGAGAGAAATAATATTTTTAAAAATTCAGGCATAATCTACACACAGTGAAGTACTCAGACCTTACATGCATCTTTCAGTCTGGATAAATACATATTACATGCATTTCATAGGTTTCATTTTCATCTGTGTAGACATTTCCCTCATATTCCTTTTCAGTCACCCCACCCCACAGAAAAGTAGCTACTGATCTGTTTTCTGATTTGCTTTTTCTATATTTTTCTATAAATTGAATCATACAGGCTGGGCATGGTGGCTCATGCCTGTAATCCCAGGACTTTGGGAGGCCGAGGCGGGTGGGTTGCGAGGTCAGGAATTTGAGACCAGCCTGGCCAATATGGTGAAACCCCATCTCTACTAAAAATACAAAAATTAGTTGGGCATAGTGGTGGGTGCCTGTAGTCCCAGCTACTTGGGAGGCTGAAGCAGAAGAATCGCTTGAACCTGGGAGTTGGAGGTTGCAGCGAGCCAAGACTGCACCACTGCACTCCAGCCTGGGCAACAGAGTGAGACTCGATCTCAAAAAAAAATATTGAATCATACAATATGTACTTTTTTGTGTACATCTGGCTTCTTTCACACTGTGTAACATGTTTGAGATTCACTCATGTTGTGGTGTGTAATTACAGTTCATTCCCATTAATAATAATTTGATGTAGGCATTACAAGAGATAATGTACATTTTTACCTGTAAAGGACTCTATAAAAATACTTACAATTATTATTTAAAAGAGGAAACCCAGGAACAAAAGAGTGTTGGAGCCACGAAGGGGCTAGAGTCTGTCATAGGCTAGAGTATATTTGGATTAAGGGGTTCATTGATTAGTGTCTGCCATATCACGTTCTTTGTATGTTTAAGGTCTTTCCATACCAGAAACATGTAAATTTGGCTTGTCTGGTCAAACTGAGTTGGATGCAGTTTACCAGACCAGAATTTATTTTTTTGCTCAGCACAGACACAAAGAGCACCTTCCACCTGTATTTCTGAAACACTCTCTTTTGCCCACCACAGAGACAGAACCCCTCCTCCATTTGATTACATTTAAGAAGCCAGTGTGTGCAAGCCATCCATAATACTGTCTTCAGAAAGAGTCAAAACTTGTGGTGTCAATTCCAGCCAGCTGTGCAATTCAGTTGTCCCAAGAGAACTTAAGCCTGGCCCTCATAAGTAAGATACAAATACTTCATTTCACAGAAGGTGATTTGGCCACAAAAAATAAATCCACACTCCAGAAAGACATGGAATCATGGAGGTAGATATTTTAAGTCCTTTTTTTTTCTGGCAAAAACATTCTTCATTAAAAGCAGGATCTTCAAAGCTAGATAGGAAGCAGCCACCATTCCCAAAGATTATTTGCAAGAATTACTCTTAGAGGATGAGGTATAAATATAAATGCTGAGTCCCCAAGCAAAAATCTCAGAAGCCTCTGTTAATTGAACTAACAGATGGGCTATGGAGATAGTCTCTTGTCAAGGTGGTAACTTGGGCAAGAATGATACCCTTAAAGGAAACATCAGGATATAGAAAGTTTATTAAAATATCACGGCAGAAGGTTTCAAGTCACATTTAGAGGAAGGTATAGAAGAAAGTCTCCTCAAAGTTGCAGCAAGCCAGTAGATGTAAGTTTCCATCCTGCTTCCTGCAGAAACAACATCTGCTCTTACATTCAACACCGGCCACCTCTGATATTTATTGCATTTGCTGAATGCTGAAAGGATCTGAAATGTGAAACCTCTTGATCTGTCAGTAGTCTTGGATTTCTGTGAAAAGATGAGCTACATAATAGCACAAATTGGAGAAATTTCATTTATCTTCAAGACATAAATCTCCATCACAGTCAAATTCCCTTTCAATACACAACTGCAGAAGTTATAAAAAAATATAGCCAACCTTTGTCTTGTAACTTCCCCTTAATTTTCATTCTCCTCTACATGCATAGCTCCATTTCCTTCAAAAAGATGCATTCCAGATCATTCAGTCTTGACTTTAACCCATTCACTTCTCCAAAGTAAATTTAGCCTAAATGAGTGAGTCAAAACATGCGTTTGTTTGGCCTCATTAAGCTCACAGTATCCTTGTGAAAGAAGGAAATTTGGTTCATTCGCCTACCTGTGAATGAAGGATAACTTGCTTGTATTTCAGTGGAATTTATATTTTATTTTTATCCAATGCTCAGGTTTCTTGGTTCTCATCAAAAAGTAAGGCTACTTACTCAACAGAGCCCAGAAAACAATAGCAAATTTTAGTTAACATCCCAGGAGTTGTGTATCTGGGGAGGATAAATGGTTAAAAACAAAAAAAAAGAAAACAGACTTGGGTTTCATAATATAAAGGTCTCTTTGAAAGAAGCAATAAATAAAAGAGGATGCCTAGAAGGTATGATAAACAAACAAAGTGGGTGAAAGGGTGGGAGACTCGATAAAGGTTCCATGAAGATTTCACGTGATGTCAACACTGAGACAGTTACTTGGCACAGAAGACCAAAGGGTCCAATTGCCAGAGGTTAAAGCGACAGGTAATTAGGAGAGGTAGCATTCTTCTCCTTTCTTTCTTTTTCCCCCTCCTTGTTTCGCTTATTAAGTGCATCCTTTATTCATGATGCTGTCCCACTCACACAGGAGTGGAGAGACTGTTTTGAGAAAGTAATCCGAGTGAAGGTTAGTAAAAAAAGCCAAACCTCTAACTCATCAAGGAACTGGAGATTCTGGAGGAGGCAATGAAGAGAACCAGCTGATATCAATCTGCGATGTCCCATTTACCCTGGGAAATTCCTTCTGAGTTAATCCAGGTGCACATCCTCAGTTCCACAGAACCCTTGGCATCTCTTCTCAGTGTCATAATGAGTTGTTTACATCATCATCTTTCCTGCTAGATTCTGAGCTCCTTCTTAGGGGAAGAAACTCCGGTCTTTCATCCCAGTCATTTTAGGGCTGAGCCCATAGTTGGTAGTCAATAAATATTTGATGAATGTATAAATAAATGAATGAATGAATACAGGCATAAATTTTCCTACCTCAAGCATGTCTGCCACAGACTGACTGCCCGAGAAGAATATATTCTGTGCAGAATTCTATTATTATTATCATGATTATTGATAATTTTCACTTGAAATATACTTTAAAGTGTTTTCATGCATTAGTAACCTGAAATTTGTATCCCTACTAAAACTATTCACAGAATAAAATGTTATTTTCTTCACACAGCCACACACAAAACGAAACTGATTCCTTAGCCAACATTCTAGGCAAAATATTCTATTTTTGTGAAGGTCAATACTTGCAGTGTGACATCTATTCCAGCAGCTGACTTTGCAAATACACATCCTCCCTCATTTGGGGAGGATGCTAGAGGTTAAGATATAGGTCTCTGTTTTTAGACACTTGATGTTCAGGACTTTGATAGATAATGAGAACTTTTAGTAATCAGAAATGTCCACAGCTACAAGCAGTGAGTTCCCTCTCCTTTAAGGTGTCCCATGGAGGATGAAAGTCAGCTTGGCGGCACCTTGCAGAGGAACTAAGCATGACATTGGTATTCGGTTTAGATGTCCTTGCTTTTCTCTTCAACCTAAACTTATAAAATTTCATGATTTAACATGAGAAATAGAAGATTTTTTTCTAGCACTATTAGGTGGTTTGGGGTCTGCAGAGTAATTCACACGAGGGCAAAGGCTAAGACTGGGGTCTGGGCCTCTCTGAACAGAAATTTCCTTACTGATCTTTCAGCAGTTTTCGTGGATTTTAATACTCCAGCCAAATGAGCCACTCCTCTCTGCAGAAATCCTTAGGTTCCCCAGAAGTGATCCTTTTGTTCATAGTACAAGGCTCTTTAACTTGTCACTGAATCTCTCCTCGGCTCATCATACTCCGGGCATTCTTGTAGATCACTTTTCCCTTAAGAAAGGTGGTTCAGACTTCCTATGCAAACCAATCATAGGATTTTAGGAGGCTGCCCCGGAAAATATTAGGCAGACTGATTAGAATGCTGGGATTCTGATCCTCAGGACACTACGGACCTCACTGATAATGGAAATGCAGCTTAATGTTCCTTTCAGTGCTGCCTAGGCGATACGAAATATCACCTGCTATCCCAGAGTCTGTGGTGCAGCCCATTGAACCCCGCTCAAATGGGCCACTCTATACTAAGACTCTTCTCCCACTGCACAAGTCGAGAGCTAGAACACAGAGCCCTTTGCAGAGTCAGCCGAAGCTGAAGGAATGATTGGGTGACTCCAGTGGCCTAGGGAATGTGACAAAAACTCATATTCATCAGTTGCTGTTTTGTTACAACTTCACCACAATGTACTCTATAATTTCAGTTTTCCTGATGGATTCTTGGGTGGGCAAATAGTGCTAAGCCTCCGAAGCATTGAGGTTGCCTTTCTTCATCACAGGGAAGCTTCCAGCCCTTGTAGCAGAGAACAGGCAGGAGTCCATACAGTTGATATGTATTGACAGCTTCACCCCTCTCCTGGCACAGATGGGAAATGATGTGCAGAATGGAAGGCAGTCCGGGTCAAGGCAGATGTTCTATTGTGTTGCTCCAGATACAGAAACAGGGCCAGGGCCAGAAGCTGCTTGTTCAGTCCCCACACTGTTAAAGGAAAGATCTGCAGGGCATATTTAGAGAAAGCAAAAATAAAATGAAAAACAAAGCCCTCTTTCCTCAAAAAAGAGCCATTCAGTAGTGCCACGGACAGGTTTGAGATGGAAGAAAAGAGGTACTAGATGTGTCTTGTCCATCAGCCCTGAGCAGTCCTGCCCTTTGAACCAGGCTAGGGAGGCCTTCATCCCTTTTATTCTTAGAGGGCTGTGCTCTGGTATTTTGCTGGCTGTCTTTCTTCCCATGTAAGGGAGAGTCCTCCAGGCCAAGGGGATAGGCCCAATTGGAGCCTATGTTCCCTTCTGGACCCTGGAATTGTCTAATTGGTGTGATGGCTAATACTGAGTGTCAATTTAATTGGATTGAAGGATGCAAAGGCTCCAAGCTTGGGCCCAGGGCCTGTGAGCATCTGTCCTCCCTGCCTGTCCTCCTGAGGGTCACTGTGCCACTGCTTTCATAAAACCTCTAGGCTCCAGGAGGGCAAAGGGAGCCACGTTTACAGGGGCAGGGCATGGATATAGCTTGCATGCTGGGCTGTCCACACATGTGAGCAGGATTCATGTTGCAGTGCCTGTGGAACCAGGGGTGGGAAGAGAAGAGGGGATGGACTTCAGGCCAGGGCCACTTCTCCCCATGGTCTCCCACCAGCTTCTCTTCATTAGGCTTTGGCAAAGAAGGTGGCCAAATATATTTTATTTCGTGTTTGTAAATTTGATTGATAATGTTAACATATTTAGACCTATAGTATATGGACCTCCATTCATACTCATGTTTTGGGCTCTGAAAATGTTAGAAGTGGGTCTGGTTCTGACCACACCCCCTTCCTCCTAACTGCTTCTGGAAGGGGAAGGGAAATAAGGACTTAGGGTGGTTTGACAGGTGGGAAGTTTGGGTTTTGGAGGGCTGAGTAGGAGGCACTGTGGAGCCACTAGAACCAAACAAAAAGTTTAGAGAAAGTAAAACTACCAGGAAGAAATCAAAATAGAGGATGTTTTCTCTCTGTGGTTCCCTATAAACTCCAAATGTTACAAGAGCGAAGGCAAGAGTGTCAATTCTACACACACACACAAAGGAAGGATGCTGTCTCTTGGCTTGACTTGGTAGGTTCAGAACAACTATGATACTGTGACTAGGAAAGTGTGGTGAAGGTCACTGATCAGCATCTGCTTCAAACCCAAACTCTCTCACCATCTCGGAAGCAAACAGCAAGGTAAAAGGTTTGTCCAACAGCAGAGGGATTGAATAGAGAAGGAACTCATTAACCTGGTGTGATGGCTAATATTGAGTGTCAGTTTGATTGGATTGAAGGATGCAAAGTATTGATCCTGGGTGTGTCTGTGAGGGTGTTGCCAAAGGAGATTAACATTTGAGTCAGTGGACTGAGAAAGGCAGACCCACCCTTAATCTGGGTGGGCACCATCTCATCAGCTGCCAGTGTCGCTAGAATATAAAGCAGCCAGAGAAACGTGAAAAGGTCAGACTGGCCTAGCCTCCCAGCCTACATCTATCTCCAGTGCTGGATGCTTCCTGCCCTCAAACATTGGACTTCAAGTTCTTCAGCTTTGGGACTTGGACTGGCTTCCTTGCTCCTCATCTTGCAGACAGCCTTTTATGGGACCTTGTGATTGTATGAGTTAATACTACTGAATAAACTCCCTTATCTATTCAGGCACACTCCTAGTTTCTTAGAGGCATGGACAATTGTTTGGTCCAAGTCTGTCTAGCTTGCCCAGGTGGAGATGGCTGATCTGGTGGGTATCCTTGCCATCCATCATTGCTCCATGTAATTCTCCCCCAAAGCTATGACGTTCAGTTGAAGAAGGTTGAACTCGCTGTCTTAGTTTGCCTTCCCCCAAAAGCAGAACCCAAGACAAGGACGTGAGTGCTGGAGGTTTATTTGAGAGGTGAATCCAGGAAGCACAAACCAGGATGTAGGGAAAGAGAGACAGGGAAGACAGAAAAGCCAACATAGTGTGCTGGTGTCTGCTCTACTCACTACACTTACTCTCCCAGATTTCACCTTTGCTCACATCATTCCTCATGCCATACCAAGCCTAACCTTTCTGTCTCTCATGAAGAATTCCACTTACATGAATGGCGGACAAGGCTCAAAAAGCCTTGCCCTCCTATTTGTAAAATGATTTCAAACTGTCTACATAGTTCAATTAAAATTTTATACTTCCTTCCAGGATTAGAGCACAGCTTCCAAATTCTCTTAAATGCCTGGGTAGCCATCAAACCTTCCCGTGATCGGTGATGCAGTAAGTACATGGGTTAGGGCAAAGGGGCTGGTAGCAAGATGAGGAAAAGCTCACTATCCAACATAAATAACCTATATCATAAGACTGTGGAGAAAATTCCCATATGTACTTTGGGGCAGCCCAATCCTGAGCATATTAGACCTTCTCTGGCACCCCAGACAGTGAGGCTCTCCTCTCCCTCCAGCTCCCTCCTTGGCCCCTGTCTGAGGGCCCAGTATCCTCCCTGTTCTCACATGAGTCTCATGTGGGCCAGAAAGGATAGATTTATGTGCCATCAGCACAATGCATGGCCAGTGAGTATCAAGTCCTCCTGACTCTCGGGCCCCGTGACCCTATTCTGATAACTGGGTCTTTTCCGTATGCCTCAGATCTGCCTACCGTCTCCTGTTTTTATCTGCTGCAAATGAATCCAGCTCCCCAGACAACTATTGAACATTCAATTACTGGCTCAAGTGGACAACTCGAATTACTGACTTTTCCTTTCTGCCTGACCCAGTGCAATGACCTCTATCCTATACTGAGTTTTGACGAGAAGTATTAGAGCTTCACATAAGTGCTATGAAAACATTGATCAATATCTTTTGCAAACCCACACTGTAAAAATGTATCAAGCCAAATGTTTTCTATGCAGAGGTGACTCGAAGAAGTCATTACTGTTTTGGCAGGATGTTGGGCTAATCAGAAAATGATGCTGCCTAATCGTGGTAATCACAGTACCAAGTCAGGAGTGAGTGGGAGACTAGATCATAGTTATTTGGTGAGAAGAAGAGTGGCCAATCACCTACCTTACCCTTCCACAGGAGCCTCCATCTGTCAGTCAACAAGTCTTTTCAAAGAGCCTTCTATATACTATGCTAAGCTTAGGCACCAGCTTAGGAAACTTAAGTCAGGCATGAGAAGGAATTTTCTGACCATCATTAGGGGATTTAAATACTTGGGTGTGTTCCTGAGGCAGCCTAGGTAGCCTCCTTCTTTTGCAGCTTTTATTAATGTGTTAGACTTTTAGGGAAAGCTAAATCAGTGATTTCCTAGCTGAATTTCAGAAAACCCTTGGGTGTCAGGGAATCCTAGACTTCTATAAAGTGCGCTTTAAGGGATTATACACATATTTGTGTAAGATTTCACTTTTTAATGAGAATTTACTTTTGACTATTTAAAAAATGGTAAGAAAAAGTGGCACCTGTGCATTTAAATGTGTCTTATATAAAACTTGGATATGCTGGAACACCAAAGTTTGGATGCTGCTACAAGGTTAACTCATTTTTGTGCAGACTTGAAATCAGGCTTCTCCTGTAGCCTGTATTTAGCTAATTCCAGGGGCATCTGTTAAACGATGATGTTACAAATACCTGTGTGGACCATGACCCCCCAACTCCTATGCAATGAAGACAAGATACTGAGGCTTACATAAAACCTCAGATGTCATCCTTAACTTCCAATTAAACATTGCTGCCTGGTTGAACGAGCCTTATTACTCTAATTGGCTGGCTTTTTAATGAGTAAATGTGACAAAGCTGTACTTACAAAATAAATTCATATAAATATAACCATAATTCCAGTTTTTATTTATGCTACCTATTGATGTTTTATATAGATTTCCTGAGGAAAAAAATGAGTCATAGTTAAAAATAACTTTGAGACCATTCATTTATTTTTTTTCATTTTTAAATTATTTATTTATTTATTTATTTATTTATTATACTTTAAGTTCTAGGGTACATGTGCACAACGTGCAGGCTCATTACATAGGTATACATGTGCCATGCTGGCCCGCTGCACCCATCAACCCATCATTTACATAAGGTATTTCTCCCAGTGCTATCCCTCCCCATGTCCCCCACCCCATGACAGGTCCTGGTGTGTGATGTTCCCCACCCTGTGACCAAGTGTTTTCATTGTTAAATTCCCACTTATGAGTGAGAACATGCGGTGTTTGGTTTCCTGTCCTTGTGATAGTTTGCTGAGAATGATGGTTTCCAGCTTCATCCACGTCCCTGCATGGATATCATCCTTTTTATGGCTGCATAGTATTCCATGGTGTATATGTGCCACATTTTCTTAATCCAGTCTATCACTGATGGACATTTGGGTTGGTTCCAAGTCTTTGCTACTGTGAATAGTGCCACAATAAACATCCGTGCACATGTGTCTTTATAGTAGCATGATTTATAATCCTTTGGGCATATACCCAGTAATGGGATTGCTGGGTCAAATGGTATTTCTAGCTCTAGATCCTTGAGGAATCACCACACTGTCTTCCACAATGGTTGAACTCGTTTACGGTCCCACCAACAGTGTAAAAGTGTTCCTATTTCTCCACATCCTCTCCAGCACCTGTTGTTCCCTGACTTTTTAATGATTGCCATTCTAACTGGTATGAGATGGTATCTCATTGTGGTTTTGATTTGCATTTCTCTGATGACCAGTGATAATGAGCATTTTTTCATACGTCTGTTGGCTGCATAAATGTCTTCTTTTGAGAAGTGTCTGTTCATATCCTTTGCCCACCTTTTGATGGGGTTGTTTGATTTTTTTCTTGTAAATTTGTTAAAGTTCTCTATAGATTCTGGATATTAGCCCTTTGTCAGATGGGTAGATTGCAAAATTTTCTCCCATTCTGTAGATTGCCTGTTCACCCTGATGGCAGTTTCTTTTGCTGTGCAGAAGCTCTTTAGTTTAATTAGATCCCATCTGTCAATTTTGGCTTTTGTTGCCATTGCTTTTGGTGTTTTAGTCATGAAGTTCTTGCCCACATCTACGTCCTGAATGGTATTGCCTAGGTTTTCTTCTATGGTTTTTTTGGTTTTAGGTCTAACATTTAAGTCTCTAATCTATCTTGAATTACTTTTTGTATAAAGTGTAAGGAAGGGATCCAGTTTCAGCTTTCTACAAATGGCTAGCCAGTTTTCCCAGCACCATTTATGAAATAGGGAATCCTTTCCCCATTTCTTGTTTTTGTCAGGTTTGTCAAAGATCAGATGGTTGTAGATATGTGGTATTATTTCTGAGGCCTCTGTTCTGTTCCATTGGAGACCATTAGTTTAGATAAAGCTGGGTAATGACCTCAAAATTCCCTTCCAATCTGATTATCCAGTCACAACACTTGTTCCGACTATGTTGCAGCAATGATACTTTAATAGGGAGAATACTCATGGTGTTATGTTGTTGCTAAATGAACAAAGCAGGTTCAAAGGAGCTATATACGACATATATATATATATTGCATATTCATACATACATATATATACTACATATGATTTATACTTAGAAAAGACTAAAAGTCAATACTCCAGTGCTACGAACTATACAAAAAGCCAATTAAAGTTATTTTTAGAAGGCAAAAAACGTGGCATTTCTTCAGTGTAGATGGATGAGTGTGATTGGCATTATTTCCAAATGGACAAAGTAAATAAATGTGTGAGATGAGCCTAGAGTTTGCTGAGTTTGCTAAGCCCACTCTGTATATCCCTTCATTCACTCCTAGTTGGTTTCTTGACCAGGAGACACATATACTGAAGCAGTGAGGGGGCTGTACAGCTCACCAGTTAGTTGCACTGGCTCAGATAGATAGACGGCTGGGCCCAAGTTCCTCTTATGTCCTTGAAAAGCTGTATATCCCTGGGCATATTTGACCTCTCTCAAATTTTCTGATTTACAAAAGAGGATGATAATATCTGCCCAGCAATACTACCATAAAGAACATGAAATATGTTTAGAACCCTAAGACAATACCTAGCACATACTGAATGTCCAGTAAATGGCAGCTATTGTTATTGCTAGGAAATGGCTCCTGCCACAGGGTGTTTCCAGTCTAGTGGGGAAGGCAGCAGACATTTGAAGATGAACTATACTACATCGCAATTAGCAATGCAACCGAAGCAAAGACAATGTGTTGGGAACTCAAGAGAGGCATGTTTAATGGAGTTAGAGCTAGAGGGTCTGAAACTCAGGCTTATTCTCCATGAAAGAAAAAGATTACTTCAGGCTCTGCCAAGATCTTTTCGGTCTCTGAAGCTACAGAGGAAACCCATGGAAGACAGCAGAAGGCTTTGGAGGTGTGCCAGCCTTTTTGCTATAGGTTCAACCTGGGTACTCTGCAAAGGAGCC